ACCCACTGCGCCATCTAGCTGCCCCTGCCCTGTCAACTTAACCCTGAGTCAATGCCACCATCCCAACCCTCAGGCCCTGAAAACTACAAGAACACTTAGAACAGTGATTGCCACAAAGTACCTGTTGACTTGATAAAACCATATAGACTGTACCTGCTACAAATTCAAATACTTTGAACTAGGGGTGGCGTAGTGGATATAGTGCTGAGCCTGGAGTTAGGAAGACCTGAGTTCAATCTGTCCTCAAACACTTACTAGGTGTGTGACCCTGGGCAAGTCACTTAACCTTATTTGCCTGAGTTTCCTCTTCTGCAAAATGAGCCAGAAAAGGAAATGGCAAACCACTGCAGTATCTTTGCCAAGAAAACCCTAAATGGGGTCATGAAGAGTTGGACACAACTGATACGACTCAACAACAACCATGAACTAAGACCTCATGACTGCCTGGTAATCATTTTTTTCATCTCAAATATGTTCTTTTGTCATATTCTTCACAACATCTGCTCCAAACTTTTTCCTCTCTCTTTTAACCCTTTAGGTCACCCAGCAATCCCCTTTCTCTCAACAAATGACCTTCCCTCCCTCCTTTACTGGAAAAAAAAATGAAGGCCATCCACCTCAAGGTCTTTCAACTCTACACTTCAGTAACTTTATAGCTTCATGCACTTTCCTTCTCCTCCTTTGCTCTAGTCTCAGAGGATAAAGTTGACCTTCTCTTCTACTTATGTCTCAATCTTATACCCTGCTTAGTAAATATCTGCTGAACTTGATCCAAGTCTCTATATCATATCTCATGGCTAGACTGTAATTTCTTTGAGAGCAGCAGTCTAGTTACTTTGCAAGATCCTCTGGTACATAATATAGCTTTACACAGAAAAGGAGCACAAGATTTCTCCCTATGTACTTTTCTAGGCCACAAACTAAGACTATTTGTAATTTGTAAAGTTTTAAGATGAAATTTAACAGGTGCTTTTCATTTTTGTTTTGAAGGCTGGGTTTCATCTGAAGATCATAGATGGGGAGGGAAAGAATTTAGAACTCAGAATTTTTTAAAGATGAATGTTAAAAAATTTTTACATATAATTGGAAAAAATCATTCTGCATTTTTAATAAATCATCTTTATGTAAGAAATGAAAAGCTCCATGTAACTTAATTTTCTAGTTACTTGATTAAGTTCTAAAACTTTTTTATTTTAACCACTTCTAAGAGAAATATTTTTAAAATATATCCATATTTCCTCAAATCTTTCATGTATTCAGAATATACTTGAACTGTTCCTTGAGACAATATCCAACCCCTTTCCCCATGAAAACTATGCTAGGTTCTTCCTTAAAAGGTATTGAGATATTTCTCTACCAGTAGTTGACTCAGAGGACTAAAGGCTGCAACTGGTTGTCACATTTTCATTCCCCAAGTACCAACTAGTCACAAGGAGCTCCAAGGGTATCAATGGTGGGTCTTACGGGTTAATTCATGGAAGGGAATTTCCCTCAAATGAATCAACTCCAGGTGTCCTCTATGCCTATCGTTTTTTTTTCTTTAATTTATTTTATTTTTAATTTATGGAATAAAACAAGCATTTCCATAACATAGTATAATTAAAAAAGATGATTGCACATAAAATTGCAAACTACTATGTACAATTTGTTATTCCTTTTAGACATTCAACAAAGTTATCATGGAAATTCCTTTTTTCTTTTCAATTTTTTTCTTCCCTCTTCCCCCCCATGGCCACCATTAGACACAGACATATATATGTAAAATTATTCTATCCATATTTCTATTCATTAGTTCTCTCTGTGGATGCTGATAGCATCTTTCTTCCTATGCTCTTTATAGTTAATTTGGGTATTTATAATAGTCAAAAGATTTATCCAATCAAAGTTGTTCTTAAAACAATATTGCTGTTACGGTATACAACGTTCTCTTGGTTCTGCTCATTTTGTGCTTCTTCTTTTTTTTGACACTGATCAGTAAGCAATAAAATAGTAAAAAAAAATCAGTAAATAAAAATTATGTACAAAGTACAAAAAAAGCACCTATCTTTTTTGCTGTTATGGTTAGGTAATCTCTTTCTGCTAAGTGAGTGGCCTATGCAATATAAGTACCTAAATGCTGATCGAGGATTGTTACTAAAGATTTGAAATGTGAGATTTTCTTTTCCCTCAAATGAGTGTGACATTTATATTAACTTCATATGGAAATGCAAATACAAAGCAGCCACAATTATTCACTTAGAAATCATCACCCTAAAACATGTCAATCAAAGGTCTAGGCATTTCTAGAATTCAAAATAATGCTAGCTAGACCCAATTAGAAGGCTGAAGCTGTTAGCAACTACTTACACAGATTGTGTGATTAAAAGGCACCTTGTTGGGAAATCAAATTAGTCACAGACTCACAGAATCTAAGTGAGAAGAGGCCTCATAAGACAGCAAGTCAAATTTGTAACCAAACACCAATAGGAAGGATCACCCAGCCTTCTATAAAGACACCCAATGACACAGTGAGCACCCTTTACCTCTTGAGACAATCCATCTTGATAACTTTCACCCTTAATCATACTAGGTCAACCTATAACAGCTTTTCCCTTACTATGAAGAACTACAAATGATAGCCCTTCTAAAGAAACAAATTAATCATTTTTGTATTTAAAATGTACTCTGTTTATAAGCCGGTAGGACTGTGTGCACGTGCTACCTGCTGGGTTTTTCTAACGGTTTCATATTATTATTTAAAACATGCAAAGCTTTCCTTGACCAAATGTAAATACTATGAAAACAAATGAAAATGCCATCCTTCATCAAAGGATTACCAGCAGGGAGCACAATTATAAAAAGAAACAAAATTTGTAAACACAGGTGTTTCACTGATGATACACCACTTCCTCAAACTTCCTCTTTATAGAAGGATTTGACATTCTGTGGCTGTTTAAAAAAAAAAAAAAGTCCAGATGTTGTTCATTAAAGTCAATCAGAATAAACAACTTGTAGTCATTAACACTGCCAAGCAACCTCCCTCTTTAGAAAATTATAATCTGTCAAAGAATTATTTCCATATAAAACATTCAAACTCACATGTAAATCACACCATCAGCCTAGGCCATGCAAATGGAGCTTATATGCCTGAAAAGAAAAATGTGAAAGGGACCAGGTACTTGTACCCTGCAAATTAGCATCAGAATTTTGATTTACTCATTCATTTTAAGCATCCTCTATGGGTCCTCCCACTACTAAAGTCCTATTCTAAGAGTTGTTGTTGTTCAGTTGTGTCCAACTCTTTGTGTCCTCATTTGAGTTTTTCTTGGAAAAGATACAGGAGCAGTTTGCAATTTCCTTCTCCAGTTCATTTTACCAAAGAGGAAACTGAGGCAAACGAGGTTAAGTGCTTTGCCCAGGGTCACACAGCTAGTGAGTGCCTGAGGCTGGATTTGAAGTAGGAAGATAAAGTCTTCCTGACTCCAGCCCAGAAGCTCTATTCCTAACAGGCAACCCTCACTGCAGTATTCTAAGAGTACTCCACCCCCTCCACCACCCCCTGGCCAAGATTAACTTCCATTTACACTATAAACCATTTATAATATATACAGGATGTCCCAGAGTCTTCATGCAGTTGGAAGGTTTCTATTAACTATAATAACTATCTGTCTACATGTTGTCTGCTCCATTAGAAGGTGGAGTCCTACAGGGTCAGAAGAGTGTTTCTGCCTTTGTATGGCATTACAAACCACTCAATTCAGCACAGTCCAAAGCCTAAGCAACACAGATACAAAGAAAGACAAAAAACACTCCCAGCTCTCACAGAGTTTACAATCTAATGGGAGGGAGAACCAATAAGCAAACAACCTTGTATAAACAAGATATATACAGGCAAATTGTAGATAACGGGGGGGGGGGGGGGATAGAGAGGGCTTAAAAATGCTTTTTGACTAATTGTTTTTTTTGTTTTGGTTTGGTGGAATGAGAATGACTGTAGGGTTTCCTAGCAGGTCCTAGCAAGGTGGCACAGTGGATAGAGCACCAGGGCTTTGAATCAGGAAGACCTGAATTCAAATTCAGCCTCAGACACTTACTAGCTGTGTGACCTAGGCATGTCACTTAATCCCTGTTTGCCTCAGTTTCCTCATCTGTAAAATGAGCTGGAGAAGGAAATGGCAAACCACTGGATCACAGAGTCAGACATAATTGAAAGGACTGAACAATATCAACACAAAACTGTAGGTCCCGACTCACAGGGTTGTAGTAAATCTTCAAAAAGAGAAATGTTTAAAGTACTTTGAAAGCCTTAAAAGGGTCGGCTATCAAAGTCATCGTAGATCTTTAAAGTATAAAAGTATAAAAGAAAAGGCCAGGGCCACATTTCCTTCTTTATTATGCCAGTGTGCTAGCAAACAACAATAAAAACCAGAATAACCCAAACTGCTTGGTAGGCCATCAAAAGAACAAAGGTGTTAGGCTGTAGAGAAAGAATCCGTGAAGCACTCTAATTTTAGGCAGAGAAACCAAAGCAATCTTAAAACACAATGTTATTAATAATAGATAATACTCAAAAAATGCTTCACAAATAATTATCTCATTTTATCTTCAAAACCTCTGGGATTTAGGTGCTTTTAACTCATTTCACAGACAAGGTAACATAAAAATGTGAGCTCTTTGAGCGCAGAGATTGGAGTTTTTGGTTTTTTTTTGGTTGTTTTTGTTTGGGTTTTTTGCCTTTCTTTTTATCCTCAGCGCTTAGGTCAGGGTCTGGCACACAGTCAGTATTTAGGCAACAGAGATAAAGCGACTTAGGCAAGACATAATGTCTGAGGCCCAACAGGAATTCACATCTTTCTGACCCCAAGTCTACCATTGCCCCCACTGCACCACCTAAGTGAGTTGGAAGAGACATCAAGTAACCCCTTCATTTTACTAGTGAGAAAACTGATGTCAAGAGGAAGGAGAGTGACCTACTTAAGGTCACACTTTAATTCCTTAAGTCTCTCCTCTCAGCTTCCTGGTCTCAAACAGCTCCACACTCCCGCAAATCTGAATCCCTCAACTTAGGTGACCAAATTGACAAGAGTAGCCAACACTTATATACAGTTTATTATGTACCAGGGCATTTGTAAAGTGATTCACAATGATTACCTCATTTGATTCTCACAAGCCTGGAGGTGGGGATTGGGGGGGCGGTAAGTGCAGTTATCTTGATTTTACACTTGAGGAAACTGAGGCAAAGACAGATTAAGTATATTGTCTGGTTTGTTTTTTATTTTTATTTTTTGTGAGGCAGTTGGGGTTAAGTGACTTGCCCAGAGTCACACAGCTAGTGAGTCTTATGTGTCTGAGGCAGGATTTGACCTCAGGTCCTCCTGACTCCAGGACTGGTGCTCTATCCACTGTGCACCTAGCTGCCTCGAGATTAAGTATACTGTAGTCCTGGGTCACACTGGTATTAAGTGTCCAAGGTCGGATTTGAACTTTTGCTTCCCAATTCCAGATCCAATGTCTCTCTCCACCGAGCCACAATAACAATAGTTAACACTTACATGGTGTCTACTATGTGCCAAGGCACCGCGTTAAGAGCTTTACAAATATTATCTCCTTTCACCCTCACAACAACCCTGGGAGATAGGTGCTGTTACTATCCCTATTTTACTGATGAGGAAACTGAGGCAAACAGGTTAGTAAGTGACCTGCCCAGGGTCCCCCAGGATTCTAGGGCAGAGCTGACCCAGGGAGCCTAAGCCGAGCAGGGGTCCCCCAGATCCAGGACCTGAGCACCAGACAGAGGAAGCTTCCTCCCAACATTTCCTTCAGTCCGGCTTGGAGAGGGGGTGCCGTGAAACCCTTCCCCTCCCGGTTCCCAAGAGCCCAGCGCTCGCCCTTTGCAGCAAGCCACTGCGCCCGGTGCCGGTCGCTCACCTTCGCTGGGAGCACCCACATTCGCTGGGAGCACACGCGCTCATCCCCAAGGTTCTCCCAGCGCCCCCCCGCCACTGCCCGCGCCTCCCATTCCAAAGCCCAGCCGCGTCGCGCGCCCCACGATCCCAGCCTCCTCCCCCCGGCACCTTCTGCTGCCGCAGCCAGTCTTTGCCTCCTTGCAGTTCAAACCCTGCCCCTCTCTGGGACTCCGCTGATCCGGCCCCTTCCCTTTCCGGGAGCAGCTTTCGCTAGGTCCTAAAAGCCGCCACATCAGCGGTGTAGACAGGCTAGGGCCCAGCACAGACTGACCCCGGACCCCAGCTAAAGCATAAACCCGGGAAGCTCGTTGCTCCTAAGACTAGGAGGCCCCGGGGACGTCGCCTAACGCTGTTTTTTCTAAGTCTCATCCCCCTAACCACTTTAAGTCCCTTTACCCCACTATTATCTTAAAAGGGTTTCTCAGACCAGCGCTTGGCACATCTAGGGAGAAAAACAGAAGAAGTTTTTCATTTAATTTTTAATAGGATTTGCAAAATACGTTGGCAGCTGAGATGCTAACGGCTGTCTGGTAAAAGCAGCTGCGGAGTTAGATTCCAACTATACCGGTGGAAAAAAAAGTGGGGGGGCGGTGCTTTTTTCCATTCACTGGACATTGTATCCCCAGGGCCTAGCACAGCTCCTGGCACATGGTAGGTGAACAATAACTGTTTGTTAGTTGACTGATAGTTCAGCCTTTTTTTCATTTTATTGATTTTTTTTCTTTTTGATAATCCAGCTTTTTATAAAAGGTGGCAGTGGGGAAGTCCTGGATTTGGAGTCTTAAGTGCAGGTCTGAGTCCAAGCTGTCCCTCTAACATCCTTTATTACCTCGTATAAGTCACTTCGCCTTTGGGCATAGATTTCCTCTACTGAAGAGAGGAGTTGAGTGCTGGACCTGGAAATAGGAAGGCCTGAGTTCAAATGCAGCCGCAGACACCTACTATTACTACTACCTTATTCTATCCATTGTGTCACCTAGTTGCCCTTTAAAAAAGCACTTACCTCCCGGCATTGTTATGAGAATTGAATGAGATAATCTACATAAAGCACTTTGAGCCTTAAAGCACATAAATTACTGAGTACAGTGAATATGCCACAAGATTTCACTCTTAGAGAAAACTAGGATACACCTGGTAGAATTCACATGAAGCTTATTTTTTTGGTGGAGCCTTAGTGTTATTAAAAAAAAAAGCTGGAATAGCCAATTAATGGTCCACTTTAGATATCCTTGATGTTTGTGTGGCTGGATTTGAATTCACATCTTCCTATGGCCCTGATCTCCTCCCCACCTTGCCCCACTCTATTTTATCTCCTAGCTGCCACTTGAGCTGGGTGACACTGGGCAAATTACTTCTTTTGTTTCAGTTTCCTCATCTGCAAAAGGAGGAAAAATAACAGCACTTACTTCCCTTGGTTGGTGTGAGGATCGAATGAGATAATTTGTAAAGTGTAAATTGTAAAGTGTTTTGCAAACCTTAAAGCCCTCTACAAATGCTAACTATCTTCATCATTATTAAGCATTTAAGATAACCAGTGACAATTGGGAAGCATTGGATTTTGGAGTCATAGGTCAGGAATTCAGGCTGTTTCTAAAAATCTTTGAGACCTTGGTTAAATCACACACCATCACCTGTTTTCTCATCCATAAAGTAAAGGGGTTGTTCTAAAAACTCTCTAAAGTATGTGCCTGCTCTAAATCCAATCATCTTCTGTGATGGGGAAAAGAAAACCTAGGTAGCAAGGCTCAAAATAATTGCAGGCGACAGTACACAATTAAATGTCTGCTGGTAGGACTAATGTGGAACTCACTAGTGCTGTCATCATGGGGTCACCGAAGTTCAAGTACTGCCTTATAATCTCATCTCTTTTTACCCATTACTCTCTTCAGTTCCTTCCCTCCTCCATACTACGTTGGCCCTCCTCATTTACACACAACCATAAAGAGTGAACAGAACTGGGAAAAGAGGAGTGCAACCCCTGTGAAACTTCTATTCCTTTCAAGTCACTGCATAGGCTCGGTGGATTTAGAGGTAAGAAAAGACCCATAGAAACCATTCATTTAACAAAGGAGGCTCAGAGAAGGCTGGCCCAAGTGGTAGAATGGGGATTTGAATCGAGATCCTGCGTTTTACCCAGCTACACACGTGAATTAGGCACCGGCTAACAAACAGGTTGTAAACACCTCCAGGAATATCCTCAGAGCCTGGAAAGGAACCCGCCACGTGGTTGGAGTTTTCTTAATACCAGTTGATTGACTGATTTAAACTACACGATACGCCTAGAGTAATGAATCAGCTGTATCTAGATATTTCCTTCCCATCCCCCAGTCACCAAATAATCCCAACTTGTGTCTACAAAGGAGTTTTTAAAATACTTTTTCATGTTTTATTCACATTCTTCCCACAGTCTGCCAAAGTGCTACGTACAAAGCAGGAGATCAATAAAATCTGTTGAATGAACTCAGGAATGAAGACACTATCCTTCACAGATTCCAAACCTACCAGATGATCTCCAAGCTCTTCCAGGTCCAACAGCCGGTGACTCCCCTCCCTAAACAGCCACACTGGAGAAGGAAATAGGAGGAGCTGAAAGAAGGCACACACTTGGCCCAGGAGGCTGCCGGTTTGGGCTACTTTCTCTTTTGAGAAGGGGCGTGGCCAAGCGAAAGCACTCGACCAATGGAAGCGCAGACTTGAAATGACGCGAGCAGCGGCAGCCCAATAGGAAGAGTGTCGGCGTTGCTAAACTGCAGTTGGCTTTTTTTTTTCCCAGGAGTGGGCGGGGAAGACGGTGACCTGTGCGGTTTGGCGCCTGCATCATCTTTGCTCTGGGCATCCCGAGATGTTCGCCGCCGAGACCGGAGCCTGGTGCACGGGACGCGAAGCCCGGCCCTCGGATCGACGGAAGTGGGTGAAAGTAGGTGTCTTCCTGGCTTCAGGCTTGGGGAGACGGTGCGGAGGGAACTTGACCTTGGATTCCGAGTGAGAAAGGTCCAGCCCCGCCCCGAGACAGGCAGCCCAGATTCGGGGCTTGGGAGCCAGAAAAATTGGGCTCCACTCCCAACCTCGATGCGTTGAACCTCGAAAGTCTCTTCTATCCAGATCCTTGAGGTACCTTCTGTAAAATGAGGGAATTATACTGGATGTCCTATGAGGTCCCCTTCCATCTCTAAAAGTTCTAGGATGTTTTTCGCGAATCCTACTGAGTGGACCACCCGGCTGAATGAATGTCAGCTCCTTGAGAGCTGGGACCTCTACCTTTTGAATGAAAAAAATTAAAGAAAAAGCATTTATGTACTATGTGCTGAGCACTCTACTGTGCTCTGGGGATAGACATACAGAAGCAAAGACAGTCCCTGCTCTCAAGGAGCCTACGTTTTAATAAGGGAAACTATATCTTTTGGGGTTAGTACTTTGATCTCTGGGCAAATCACTTAAGTACTCCAAGCTTCAGTTTCCTTCTCTGTAAAATGGGAATAATAATAGCACCTACGTCCCAGAGTTGTGGCGAGAACAAAATGGATATTTGTAAAACGCTTTGCAAACCTTAGAGTGCTATATAGATGCTTATTACATTATTATTATTCACAAAGTTACTAGGATAGTGAATGGGGCCACAGGGGAGTAAAGTCCCTGATAGTCACTAGCTTATGGTTTTTTAGACACAAGGTGGCAACAATATACTACTCTTAAAAATTAAGTACAGGAAACAACTTTTCTCCAAAAATTCTTAAAAATTAACTATAGAACACAGTTTTTCTCCAGTGCTGCTCCTAACCTCCTCCAACACCTTGAGCCTAGCATAGTGCTTTGCACACAGTAGGTTCTTAATAAATGTTAAATTGAATTGATTCCATTCTAATCATGAAAAGAGAGGAACTTTATTGCTAGAACTAATTAATGAAGAAAAGAACCCTTGACCATCCCTTTTTCTTTGAGTTTTTGGTCCCCTTTCATAGATCAACAAAAATTCAAGACCAATTACACAAAAATTAAAAAAACAAAAACGAGACACAGTTCTGTTGCTCTCACTAAAAATATTTAACATTCTTTAGGTATTTGAAGCATGTGATGAAGATAAAAAAGGCTATCTAAGCAGAGAAGATTTTAAAGTTGCTGTAGTAATGCTGTTTGGGTATAAACCCACAAAGGTATATTTTATTTTTTTTTAATATATATTTAGTGATGAAAAAGGCAGCAATATTATTTTGCCTTTGCTAAAATGTAATTTACAATCTGAATCTAAGAATATTACAGATACTTAAATACTTTTTATAGGCCTTTACACTTATATGTCCAGTGAAGAACTTTCCCTACCTTATTAATGGTAGTCATTTACTTAAATTTTTATTGAAATGTTTTTTAATCATCTCCATTTAGTAATGTTTCTCCCTGCCTATCCCTCTCAGAGCACAATCACATTAAACAAAGTATAAAGAAAAAGTGGAAAAAGCCTGACATTATGGTCTACATCCATAGGCCCTCACCTCTACAAATAGGGTGGGAAGATGCTTCTTCATACCTTTTTATGGGAGCCAACCTTGGTCATTATAACTTAGTAGCATTTAGTCTCAGTTATTCAGTTATTCTTTCAGTTTACATTTCTGTAGTCATTCTGTATATGGTTTTCTTGGTTCTGCTTAATTTACTTTGTATCAGTTCATATATCTTCCCATGCTTCTCTGGATTCATTATATTCATCGCTTCTTAGAACATAGTAACATCCCATTACATTTAAGTATCACAATCTATTTGGCTGTTCTCCAATCAAAGGGTATCTACTTCCAGTTCTTTGCTACCAAAAAAAAAAAAGTGCTGCTATAAATATGTTTGTGTATATGGAGTTTAGTCATTGATCTTCTCAAGAATCTCTGAGTAAAAAGGATGTAAGATTTTAATTACTTTCTTTGCTTAGTTTCAAATTACTTTCCAGAACTAGATCATTTCTCACTGTTGCAATAGTATGCTCATCTTTCCACATCCCTTCCAGCATTGACTGTCACCATGGATAGTTTGCTGTTGTTTTATTTTGCATGTGTTTTTTTTAACTTTAAAAAAAATTAAATGTATTTTTTGTTACATTTGAAGCTCTGAACTGTCTCCCTCTTTCCTTCCCTCTCCACCCCACACTAGAGAAGGCCCATCATTTGACAGATATGTATATGTATATATAAACATGTATCTGTATATATAAAATATATATATATATATGTAAAACCACACTATGAATACTTCTATTTATCAGTTCTTTCTCTAGAGGTGGATAGCATCTTTTCTCATAGGTCCTTTGTAGTTGATTTGAATATTTGTAATACTCAGAATAGCTTAGTCGCTCACAGTTTTTCTTCGAACAATATTATCCAATGTTCTCTTGGTTCTGCTCATTTCACTTTTCATTATTTCATGCAAGTCTTTCCATGTTTTTCTAAAATCAATTGGCTCATCATTTCTTATAGCACAGTAGTATTCCTTCACAATCATATACCACAACTTGTTTAGCCATTCCCCAGTTGATAGGCATCCTTTGAATTTCCAGTTCTTTGCCTCTACAAAGAGAGCTGATATAAGTATTATAGAACATACAGGTTCTTTTCCTTTTTCCCTTATCACCTTGAGAACTAGATCTAATAGTGGTATTACTGGGTCCTTTGGTATACAGTTTTATTACCCTTTGAGCATAATTCTAGATTGCTCTCCAAAATAGTTGGATCTGTTCACAGGGCAGCCAACGGTGTGTTTGCATACATGTCTTTTTTTCATATAGTTGTTAGTAGTTTACAATTCTTCTTTTAAATACTGTTTATATTCTTTGATCAATTATTTATTGGGCATTTATTTTTTTCATTAATCCTGTGCAAAGCTGGATCAGAAGATGTAGGAAGGTATGAAAGTGTGATTTCAGTTGTCTCATGCAGATCCTTTTGGGAATACTTCTTACTACAATGGTCTAGAATTATTAACGGTTTCATTAAGCTACATCTGTGTGTGTGTGTGTGTGTATACACATATATATATACATACATATACCTAGCTACATATATATATATATTTATAACTTTGTCATACATAGGGAGTAGTTTCATTAGTTTAAGTGTAAAAGTGAAATCAAATGCCTCACTGCTGATCCAATTATTGGTATTATAGTTACCACTACTTTAAAGATTTATCACTTTATTGGTGTAGTTACTCCCTTTACTTATACAGATCACATACCCTTTCTAATTGAGTACTTGATCTTCAAGAGTCATCTTGGCATAAAAAAGAAAAAAATCGTCCTTTTCTGACCATCATAGTAATAGGCCTCTCTGAACCCAGCATCCTGATTTCTGCTTCAGTGTTCTTTCTACTATCAATCAATTAATCAACAAGCATTTTATTATGTACCAAGCACTGTATTAGAAACTGCATACAAATGTAAAAATAAAACAATCTTTGCCCCCTAGGAGCATATGTTCTATTACTAATACATAAGGCAGCCTACCTAATAAAATTATCTTTTACTATCTAGTTCAATGATCTCTAAACTTTTTTGATCAAACACTCCTGTCAGTGTAAATGTTTTTTAAATGTATTATGTGTGTGTATATATATATATATGTTTATATATATATACACACATATATTTACTTATTTATAAAGTGTATGCATGTGCTACTAAATTGATAATTTTATGTATTACAAAATTTACATCAAAATAGACATTTTGAAAGTAATAAAATAATATTCAATCGTAGAGTCAATAAGGAGCAACTGGAGTTTACTGAGTAGATGAGTTATTGGCCAGACCATGATTAGGAAGATCATTTTGAGTGGTATTTGCCAGATAGTTTAGAGAAGGAAGAGATATGAAGCAAGGGGGTCAGTTAGAAGGCTATACTATAGTCCTGGAAAGAGGTAGAGAGACCTGAACTAGGGTGGGGCTTTGTTAGTCATCAAGCACTTATTTTTTTTTTTTAGGCAATTGGGGTTAAGTGACTTGCCCAGGGTCACACAGCTAGTAAGTGTCAAGTGTTTGGTCTGAGGTGGGATTTGAACTCAGGTCGTCCTGACTTCAGAGCTGGTGCTTTATCCACTGTGCCACCTAGCTGCCCCTATCAAGCACTTATTAAACATTTAATGTGTGTCAGGTACTGTGCTAAGTTCTTAGGACACAAAACAGCAAAAATATGGTTCCTGCCCTTAAGGAACTCACATTCTAATTAAAAAGACCACATATAAAAAGGGGTACATACAAGATATGTTGTTGGTGTTGCTTAGTTGTGTCTGACTGTTTGTGACCTCTTTGTCACTTTTCTTGGCAAAGATACTGGTATGATTTGCCATTTCCTTCTCCCAGTCATTTTATAGATGAGGAAATGGAGGCAAACAGGGTTAAGTGACTTGCCCAGGGTCACACAGCTACTACACCTAGCAGTGTTAATAAATAGAAGATAATCTCAGAGAGAATGTCCTGGGAGAAAAGAGAGGGACAGAGAAGGTTATGAAGAGAGCAGAACTAGAAAAAGCTTCTTGTAGAATGTGTGATTTGAGCTGAGTCTTCAGGGAATCCAGGAAGCCTGGGAAAAGAGGGAGAGCATTTGGAGGGGTGGGGGGAAGGGGAGAGAGGAGAACCAGGAGGACAACCAGTAAAAAGCACATTGTTGAGAGACAAT